GTCCACATTTGGAGAGCGCTGGCTTTGTTTTGTAAAGATGGTGTTTCTTCAATTCATGATGATTCGTACGATTTATTGGTACTGCAGTCGTGCCTATGGACACCGATAATGAATCAGGACCCCATGGTGCTAGCAGCTGTACAAATGCATGACAAAAATATGATCTTTTCCCCTAAGACTTTACAGTCTAAAAACTGCAATCAGTATTAAAACCTAGGCCTAGTTCTCTTACTCTAAGGCCTCTTTACAACACTAGAAAGGCTGCTCGTGGAGAATATCCCCTCCTGGCACAGCAATGGCACAATGGTGCTACACTGAATCCCCTCAGCATAGGGCTGTACTGGGAATGGAAGAGGGGGAAGGAGGGGATCTGGCACATTTGACACCCCAGTTGCTCCTGGATGCCCATCACCTATAAGGGGCTGTGGCCAGCCCTAAAGTAAGGGCTTATTGACACAAGGAAGGAAGGTAGGTTGTGAAGTCAAAGTGCAGTGGCTATTCGGGGTTAGCTCTCCATGTGGACTTTTATTCCGCAATAGCTCTTGTGGAACAGTTTATTCCACAATAGCTTTCCGGTCAATTTCCCCAGGTAGACAAGCCTGTAGTCCGTGCAGTGTCAGTTAAGCGGGTGCATAAGACTTTGTAGTATCAGGGCCTTAATATAGATGGGTTGGAGGGGGCAAGGCCTAGCTCAGGCTGCTGAACAAACTTGCTCCTGCCGCTGGTGGTCTTTAAACGTGCCAGCTGCCAAATTGCAAAGCCAGCAGAGATCTGTGCCAGGGCTCCCCCTTTGAAATGGTCTGTGGTGTGTTAGGTAAGATATTAATTATACAGTATTTATATAATGTACTAACTTCATGGAGATGCACTATCAAAATGTAAACAATTAGAGCACAGAAAAAAAAACTCAACAAGTGCCGGCGGCCTGCTCGGCCTCTTTCATGTTTTTTTATTGTCTCTCAGAGATGGTGCAACCATGTGGCTTGCCAGGGAACAGCCCTGGGGTAATGGTTATGGAACATTTAGATTAGCTGCAAGAAACCCACTTCACCAGTAGATGGAGGTGATGCCTCATTTTTAATAGCAGCTCCCTCACCTTGGGTGGTGGTTATATGACTATGGCTGGATTGCCATAAATATATCAAATGCTGTCAGGAGCGGGGCGGGTTAGCTGTCAGCTGTGTGTGTCACCTTGGGCTGAAGACTGCCCTATAATCTGGATAATCACCTCGGTGCTGAGCCCATAGTTCAGTTTTCAAAGAGCAAAACATTCACAATTTACCCGTTTTTCACTTTAACATAAAAGAGCAAATTTCAAAGCAGATTTGGTTTTAACAGCCTGTTAGCCTTGAATGTTCTGAGCCCTTTTGAAATATCACACATACAGAATGGGAAGAGACTGTCTAGGAAGGAGTACGGCAGAAAGGGATCTAGGGGTTATAGTGGACCACAAGCTAAATATGAGTCAACAGTGTGATGCTGTTGCAAAAAAAGCAAACATGATTCTGGGATGTATTAACAGGTGTGTTGTGAGCAAGACACGAGAAGTCATTCTTCCGCTCTACTCTGCTCTGGTTAGGCCTCAGCTGGAGTATTGTGTCCAGTTCTGGGCACCGCATTTCAAGAAAGATGTGGAGAAATTGGAAAGGGTCCAGAGAAGAGCAACAAGAATGATTAAAGGTCTTGAGAACATGACCTATGAAGGAAGGCTGAAAGAATTGGGTTTGTTTAGTTTGGAAAAGAGAAGACTGAGAGGGGACATGATAGCAGTTTTCAGGTATCTAAAAGGGTGTCATAAGGAGGAGGGAGAAAACTTGTTCACCTTAGCCTCTAAGGATAGAACAAGAAGCAATGGGCTTAAACTGTAGCAAGGGAGGTCTAGGTTGGACATTAGGAAAAAGTTCCTAACTGTCAGGGTGGTTAAACACTGGAATAAATTGCCTAGGGAGGTTGTGGAATCTCCATCTCTGGAGATATTTAAGAGTAGGTTAGATAAATGTCTATCAGGGATGGTCTAGACAGTATTTGGTCCTGCCATGCGGGCAGGGGACTGGACTCGATGACCTCTCGAGGTCCCTTCCAGTCCTAGAATCTATGAATCTATGAATCTCTGACTGACAGATCCATCACAGACCATGATGTCTGGATTTCCAAAGGAGCTGCTCAGGCTGAGTGTTTCCTTAGGAGCCGTGTGAGTGCCGGAAGGAGGAGGAACCAGTAACTGAACAGGGGGAAAGAGAACACATGCAAAAATCAAAGGCAGCCTAATCCAGTGGTCTAAGCACAGCACTGAGCAGCAGGATCGCTTGGGTGAATCCCTGGATCCTTCCACGGTCTCTGGCAAGCACCCAGCTATATAAATTGGGGATAACAATATTCACCCGTCCCATAACCTTTCAGGGACAGTGCACAGTCACTCCATCTGCATAGGAACCCAGGGAAGGTCTGCGCTGCAGAAATCCATGGGCTAAATTCAGTCTTGGTGTAATTGGTGATACCTCCCTTGGCTCTGATGGAGCTTACGCCATTATTATTTGTATTATGGTAGAGGCCCTGGCTGAGATCAGGGCCCCATTGTGCTAGGTGCTGTACGTGCACATAGCAATAGACAATCCCAGCCCTGAAGAGCTAACAAGCAGACAAAGGGTGGGAGGGGAACCAGAGGCATAGGGATGTGAGGTGACATGACCAAGGTCACACAGTAAGTCAGAGCCAGAACACAGATCACCCGGCTCCCAGTCCAGTGCTCATTCCAATGGCCCGCATTAAATTTGCTCCACTATTAGTACAGAGCTTTGAAAATGTTACAAGCTAATTATTAGTAAAAGGAGGGAAGTGACAGCTCCGTGCAGATGGTGGTGGGGAGGGGGGGGGGGGAAGCTTGACTGTGGTCAATAAACAGAGTCTGTCTTTTTAGTACTAAAACAACTTTATTTGGATGAAACATCCTCAGCACCAGGTGCATTTTTTCCCGATTGATCCTCTTCTCCTTCACACTACCCAGCACCTGGGCGAAGGCAGGAAACACAAATGTGGCCTCCATTGGCTCCTCAGAAGTTATTCTTTATCCTTCTCTTTTTTCTTCTTGTCGCCATGGTGACCCTAGGGGATAAGTTAAAGAGAAACAAGAGGGTGTGTCAGGGCCTAGGCAGCTGATGTGTATTTCCTCGTCCCTCTCTCCTGCTCACTCTCACGGGATCTGCATGGATAAACACCGAACTACAGTCATCCTCGGCTAGAACCAATGGGCTTGCATCACCCACTAGTCAAATTTTACCCTGATACAGACACACGACTTCCACGGACACACAACTTCGATGGGAGTGGCATGGATGAGTCCAATGGCAGAACTGAGCCCACTGGAGTTATGACGGGAAGAATGATTGTGGCACATCATCTTTTGATGGCTACGTTACCCAGACCACAAGGTTTCCTGGGAGGTTGGATGGGCTTCTGAGACCAGTGGATAGCTGTTTACATGGCATGGCTAGCTGTCATTCAGGCATCCTTTATAACAGGAGGCTTTTGGGGATGCCATTCCCCAGGGCTTCTAAGAGCAAAAACATCACACAATTCCGAAGAGTGTCTGGTGCATTGTGGGGGAAGTGGATCTCCGATCTGGCAGCCAGTCAGAAAACCTCAGGGGCGGAGCCTCTTTTCCAGCGGCTCACAAGATTCCAAGATTGCGGATGTGTTGTGAGCATTCACACTGGGTACCAGAGGCAGAATGGGGCTTGCGCTTGGAGCTGGTTCTCAGCAGCTCCTGTAGCAGATCTGACTTACCCATGGGGGTATTTTCAAAGTCACCCCGCTCTGAACTCTTCTCATGCCCTTTAGTGGCCACCCCATGCACACCCCACCTCCAGGAAAGGGAAGAAGAAAAGTCCCCAGAACCACCTGCAAACTCCGGCTGTAGCACTAACATGGTAGCAGCAGGGCTTCCTTGCGGTGCACCCATGTGATTTTGTTACTCCTTCCCCAGACTGGCACGGCCAGCAGAGGCTGGTCTCTCAGAAGGAGTGAGGAGGAAAGGAAAGAATTTACACTGCCACCGCAGTGACCAGACCCAGGCTGGACAAGGATGTTCTAATCTAAAGCAAAGGAAAAACAACCCCGCCCAGTAGATCAGCTAGGCATTGATCAGTTCCTGCTTACCTCTTCAGAATCACTGTCGGAGCTGCTGCTGCTGTCAGATTCATCTCCCTCTCCCTAAGGGGCACAGAAGAAAGGGTTCATGACTACAATGGTGATAGCACCACTGCACTGGGAACAAAGCTTCCCAGCCAGGGTCAATGTCTCTCCGGAGGCATCCTGGCTCATCTCCTGCTGGCAGATTGGGTGGAGGAAGAGAGATCACTTGCATTTTGTTTTGTTGCTTTTACAACAATGTTAACTCTCACTTCCTCTGTTCCCGGTGAGCGCCTCGGCAAGGAGGAGATGGGGCAATGATCAGACAGCCTGTCTGACTCTCCCCTCCCCGAGCAATGGTTTTCATGCTCAGTACTAGCTGTAACACACACAGTGCCACCATCCTAGGAGATGGGAAATCAAACACGCACAGAGATTCAGAGCACCTAAGGCCCAAAGTCTGCTCATAGAATTGCACCCGGGACTATCACAGCATCCGATTGCCCAATGAGCACCAGGGACGTGCAAGCAGCCTGAGCGCTGGGCTGGCGGAACCTTCGTCACGCACGAACCCAACCCACAATGGCACTCGCAGCTTGCACTGGAGGGGACGCTGGGGGAGGAACATTTTCCGAAATTGAGTCAAAGAGGTTGGAATTTGTTATTCCTTAATGGCTCTGAGGTACTGAAATGGCAGCTTTAGTCACACCGCAGCGATGGGGAATCCAAAATGCGCAGACAACACACGGAACGTGGGAATTCTCCACTAGTTCCTCACCTTTTTTTCTTTCTTCTTCTTTTTCTTGTCTTTCTTGTCTCCGTCTTTCTTGTCTTTCTCCTTCTCTTCCTTCTTGTCTTTCTCCTTCTCTTCCTTCTTGTCTTTCTCCTTCTCTTTGCCCTGATCCTTCTTGTCTTCTCTTCCGAACACTGAGGAGGAGAATGAGTGGACAGATCAGTTGGCACTCCCCACCGGCTCTAGAGGGAGCTCAGCCTGCGTGCCAGGTGTTACACATCGAAGCACAAGGTAGAAAGGGATGAAAGGATGAGGCGCGCTAGGGACCCCCAATCCTGCACCACTGACAGCAGGGTGCCTGGCTTCCACGTGACTCCAGCCCAGTAAAGGCCAAGAGGGGACATGGGCCTCATTACCATGAGGCGGGATTGTGTTTAAGAACATCATTGAGTTGATAAGTACAGCACAGGCCACCAACATGACCCAGCACCCTCCCACTAAACCCAACAACCGGAATGAGGCCATAGAATGGCAGCCAGCCGGAGACGAGGCTGTGGCATGCCACAGGCAGAGAACAGGAGGGACTGAGGCCCACCAGTGCTCAAGGCCCCTGCAATGGCAAGGAAATGATTAAGTGAGATAAACCCAGATAACCCTGGCAAGTGACCCGTACCCGCATGCTGCAGAGGAAGGTGAAAACCCTCCAAGGTCACTGACAATCTGACCTGGGGGGAAATTCCTTCCTGACCCCACACATGGCAATCAGTTAGACCCTGGGCATGTGAGCAAGAACCAGCCAGCCAAGCTCCTGAGAGACACAATGCCTGGGACCACCTTAGAGCCTTCGCCCACCCCACCAATGTCCCATCTCCAGCCATGCCCGGCCCTGCTGCTTCAGAAGAAGAATAAAAAAAAAAAAAAAAAAAAAAAACACTCTTCCAGAATACACTAAGGGGTTAAAAAAAATCCCTTCCTGACCCCTGCGGTGGCTGTCTGAAACCGGGAAGCATGAAGTAAGCCCTGCCCCCCACCATCCCAACAACCTCACACATGCCCCTTCTCTGTGCAACACCCTCCTAGCGTATTCACAAAGGAGGGAGAAGGGAGGCAGAGAACTGAGTCTTGAAGCCATTCACTGCAGAGGCCAGTGCCTAGCACTTGAGCCTCCTTCCACAACACCTCCATTTGCACCAGAACACGATCCCCTGTGCAGTGCGCAAGCCCTCAGAGGAGCAAGACGTTCTGCTCGCCCTCTGTGGCAAGAGAGTTGGGAAGACCAGAGGGAGTGGGAGGCCAACATGAGAGTAGAGATGTATGTGAAATGTTCCAAGCCTGGGCAACAGGGAGGAGAGTGGGATATTTCCGGAAGAAGGACAAGGGAAGAGCTTGTGGAGGATGAAAAAAGGAACTGGCAGTGGGTCTTCCCAAATGAGAGTTTAGATAGCCACCTAGCTGCTCCCTTCGGTGACTACAGCATAGGGTTACGTGCAGTTAGCAATGGGACAAGTGTCTAGCACCGTGTGAGTGTGAGGACTGATGGGACTCTGGGCCCGAAGCAGGTAGGATGGAGAGAGAGAGTTCGCTTCCACAACACCCCTTTATCCCACATCGTGCTCACGACTCAATTCTGCTGTGGTTTCCCTGCCCGGATGCAAAGCCACTCACTCTTTAAGATGGAAGACATTCTGCAGCAGCTACCTGGCTCTCGCACGTCGATTCAGAACACCTAGAAAAGAGACATCCCCAGACCAGGATAGGGTTAGAGAGAGAAGTTACAATACTATGTGATTTTCAGTATTGATCTGAGCTTTGCAGCATTAAAACGACTGTTCCTGGGTCCCCAACACTCACCTTTCTGCTTTCCTTTAACCTGCAGGTTAAGGATGAGCCCTGAATGTTTTAACACCTTCCAGAATGGTTCTTTTCCTGGGTTAATGGAAACCCTCTGCATACAGCCTTAATGAGACCATTCCTGTTTCAACAATGAGGGTAAATTAACTAGTGGAACAACTCACCTAGGGCTGTGGCAGATTCTCCATCACTGAAAGTCTTTAAATCACGTCTGGATGGCCTTCGAAAAGATCTGCTCCAGCCCAGCCAGAAGGCATGGACTTAATGCAGGAATTAGCACTCGGGGGAGGTTCTCTAGTCTGTGTTATGCAGGATGTCAGACTAGGTGATCACAACAGTCCCCTCTGGCCTTAAAATCAATGAGTTTCTGAGTGTGAAGGGTGAGACTAGTTGTTTGGAGGTCCCCAAGGGGTACAGCATTACAGCGTCACTCGGAGTGAGTTACTGTCATATCAGTCACCTGGGAAGTGGGTGCAGCGAGCAGACTGAGCCAGTCAGAGTCCTCCCTTTCTCACACCTCCCATACAGCCGCATATTGTATCCACAGAGAATGGAAACCGCTCTTGGTGATCAAACAGGAAAGGCCCAAAGTTGCTGCGCTGAGCATGTACACCTGGGAGTCACCCATATTGCACCTCACAAGTCTCCACTCGCTTGGGAAAGGTCAGTCCTGCTAGATCTCCAGGAGCGGGGCATACCCCCCTCACCCTGGTGAACGTGATCCGATCTCAGTGTCACGCACTTCGCCGGGCCGGTTTGCTTTCATGCTCGATTGCCGTGCATTTGACTGTGTGGGTGGAGGCGGAGATGAAAGCTATAGACATTCTAACCCATTTCCAAAGCCAGGTCCGGTTTGGCCAGTTCTAGCCTGAGCTCATTCTCGTGCTCACCCCTCTTTCTGCAAAATCATTTTAAAAAGGCTGCAGTCACCTCGCCAGACGATTGGGTTATACAGTGGGTGAGCAGACAGCGACAATAAGCATGTAATTGCAAATTGCAGTTTTCCCTTGAGGCTGAGGGTATGTCTACACTACGAGGGTAATTCGATTTTACTTAAATCGAATATGTGGAATCGATATTGCAAAGTCGAACGTGTGTGTCCACACTAAGGACACACTAAGGACAGTAATTCGACTTTGTGAGTCCACACTAACGGGGCGAGCGTCGATATTGGAAGCGGTGCACTGTGGGCAGCTATCCCACAGTTCCCGCAGTCCCCGCTGCCCATCGGAATTCTGGGTCGAGCCGCCAATGCCTTCTGGGTAAAAAAAATTTGTCGTCATCCGTCCGTCACTAACGCCCTCCCTCCCTCCATGAAAGCGCCGGCGGGAAATCAGTTCGCGCACTTTTCTGGTCAGTGACAGCGCGGACGCCACAGCACTGCGATCATGGATCACGCTGCGACCATCGCTGCACTTGTGGCCGTTCTCAACACCTCGCAGCTTATCATACACCTTTCCCTGAGGCAGATGCAGAGAAATCGGGCGAGGAGGCTACGGCACCGCCGTGAGAGCCTGAAGTCGGAGAGTGGCACAGAGCTGTCAGAAACCACGAGCCCCAGCGCCCAGGACATGACGTTGGCAATGGGGCATGTGGATTTTGTTGAACGGCGATTCTGGGCCCGGGAAACAAGCACGGACTGGTGGGACCGTATAGTGCTTCAGGTCTGGGATGAATCCCAGTGGCTGCGAAACTTTCGCATGCGGAAGGGGACTTTCCTCGAACTTTGTGAGTTGCTGTCCCCTGCCCTGAAGCGCAAGGACACCCGCATGCGAGCAGCCCTGACTGTCCAGAAGCGAGTGGCCATAGCCCTCTGGAAGCTTGCAACGCCGGACAGCTACCGGTCAGTCGCGAACCACTTTGGTGTGGGCAAATCTACCGTGGGGGTTATTGTCATGCAAGTAGCCAAGGCAATCGTCAAGGTACTGCTCCCAAAGGTAGTGACCCTGGGAAACGCGCAGGTCATCATAGATGGCTTTGCCGCGATGGGATTCCCAAACTGCGGTGGGGCTATAGATGGGACTCACATCCCTATCCTGGGACCGGACCACCAGGCCAGCCAGTACATCAATAGAAAGGGCTACTTTTCAATGGTGCTGCAAGCACTGGTGGACCATCGGGGACGGTTTACAAACATCTACGTCGGATGGCCGGGCAAGGTTCATGACGCTCGCGTGTTCAGGAACTCTGGTCTGTTTAGACGGCTGCAGGAAGGTATTTACTTCCCAGACCACAAAATAACTCTTGGGGATGTGGAGATGCCTACAGTCATCCTCGGGGACCCAGCCTACCCGCTAATGCCCTGGCTCATGAAGCCCTATACTGGCGCCCTGGACACAGAAAAAGAACTGTTCAACTACCGTCTGAGCAAGTGCAGAATGGTGGTGGAGTGTGCTTTTGGCCGTCTCAAAGGGAGATGGAGAAGCTTACTCACTCGCTGTGATCTCAGCGAAACCAATATCCCCATCGTTATTGCAGCTTGCTGTGTGCTCCACAACCTGTGTGAGAGCAAGGGGGAGACCTTTATGGCGGGGTGGGAGCTAGAGGCAAATAGCCTGGCTGCTGATTACGTCCAGCCAGACAGCCGGGCCATTAGAAGATCCCAGCGGGACGCCCTGTGCATCCGGGAGGCTTTGAAAGCTAGGTTCCTGAGTGAGCAGGGCAACCAGTGACTTTTCAGTTTGTGGACAGAAAAGCTGAACCTGCCCCCGTTTCTTTACCCAGTTCATTTTGACTATCCTCTCCAGTTACATACAACCTTCACCCCCTTCCCCTTCCCAAAAAATAAAATCATTTCGATTTTTTAATGAACACCGTTGTCTGTATTGCTGTTTTCGCGGGAATATTTTAAACCGGGGACGCAGACTGTGGCGGGGGGCGGGTTCAGTGTTCTGATGCAAATGATACTTCTAAACTCCCGGAATGACAGGCTCCGCACTGGTGGACTGGTTATTTCAATGGAGCCTGCCAGCACTCCTGGGGGGGACTGTGTGTATGTGTCGGCTATGTGACTTTCTGGCAGGGGGGGGTAGGGTTACAGATCCCCTGCTGCGTGGATCTGTGAGCCAGGATAAGGACCGCTGCATAAGATCTGTAACTGCCCTCCCCCGCCACAAAGTCACAGAGCCGACACATACACACAGTCCCCC